CAATTGTGTTTTCTTTAAGTTTGACAACACTTTGTCATTAGTCAGTTTCATTATTTCCATGCATAGTCATTTAGTAAAGATGTAATTGATTATGAGAAGTCCCTTAAAATATCAGTGTAACAGAAAAATACAGGGGGGGAAAAGCAATAGTTACATTGTGCAAGGTGCTTTCTCAGGTAACAGAAATTTTTAAAAGTCAATTTTAAAATACATCATGTTGATAGTATCTCTTTAAATGTTTAGTTTTAAGCTTTAAAAATGATCAACTTAAAATAAGAATGCATGCAGCTCTATCGTTATTCAAACACTGTTACAAACATGGGAAGAGAAAAGTTCACTTTTGCCAGTGTTTTTAAAAGAGTTGCATAATAAGTTGCAATTATCTTCAAACCTGCCCCCTTTTTAACTTCAAAATAGATTTTGGAATGACTGACATTTACTATAGAAAGTTACTATATTCATAGAGTTTACACACTTAATGGCTGCTGTCATGGAATTTACACACATGAACTAAGGACCAATAAAGCATCATTGCAGCTCCTAGCATCAATGATCCATATGCCCTCATGTCTTCCCCTACCTCCTTCTTTCTGTTTCTTCATATAAGACCCCAAAGAGGAACAGGAATAACTGTGTGTACAGTGATACTAGGGATTAGAGCACTTCAGGGTGGCATGATCACTCAGTTGCAAGATCAGTTAGTGATGGCAAAGATTTCTTTTTCATATCATAAAAGATTATATTAATCTTTACCCACCACATTCTTGCTCCAGGACAGAGTTAGGAAATCTCCCTACGCATCAGAAAATAATTGGGTTACAGATAGTCTCCATTCTTACATTACAACTGAAAACAGAAAAGGGTAGAGTATTTCATGGTGGACAGAAGATATCTGAGCACGATAAAATTACCACAACATCACCAGTAGCAAATGGCCCACCATGTTAGCATGTGCAGTGCCATTCTTGCACTGTACCTCTGAGCATACCTATGAAGGATTCTGCAGTAGCTGGAAGAATACTAGCAAGGAACTTCCATGATAATATCAACAGCCTTTACTGTACATAAAATGTTTAACTAGGGAGGCTAGATCATATTTTAGCCATGTGTGGTCAGTTAATTCTATTACTAAGAGACTGAATGATAGAATTTTGAGGTCAGGTTGATTTTTGGAGGAAAGTCAATGATTGAAAGCTTTCTACATAACCCTTTAACAGGAGTTAGAAAGAGCAACAAAAACAAAGGAGTTGAGCATCACATGAGCAAAACCCTCTATGAATGTACTGGAGGAACAATACAGAACAGTGATGTAAAAGAGTGTGTTTGTAATCATACAATAAGATATTAAAGGAGAAAAAGAATTATGCTAAATGTACAAAAAAGTAATGGTACACAGCAGATTTTAGGTTGAATTGAGGTTAATTCAGAGAAAATGACTGTTCAGGAAAGGAAGTAATAAGAAAGAGGTGATAAAACTGATTTAGGGAAGTATTAAGAAGGGGAGTAATGTTCTTTGTGTATAATTATTTTTATAGCTTAAAAATTTTACCATGATATCTATTTGTCATCTTGGGGCTAAGAAAAAATGTTGATAAGTTAGTTAAATGAGCTTGGCATATGCCTACTGTAGTTGTGCGTGTTGAAATAAAAAAAACAAGGGAAAAGCACTGTGTGTTCATTCAAATGCCTAGCACACTTATGAATACTAATAAAAAATAAAAAAAATGAAATAGAAATACCTCTAAGAGGGTTCAGGCTATTTTCTAAGTCAAGAAAAAAATATTCTCGTGGCCTAAAAGCCATCACACAACTTTATTCAATGGCAGAACATCCTTTAAACAGTTGGAAACTTCAACTAAAACCTTACGGATAAAAAAATAAAGTAAAATTGTATTACCATGAAAGTGCCATGGCTTGTAAGAAAACTGTACAGGATCAGAGTTCACTTTCACAATTCTGTTCAATGGCACATCTTTCATAGCAAAGTCATAGCGATTCTTGGACCTTTTAATGAATTTAAGCCCCTACTCTCTCTTGAACCACATAATATCAAACTAGTGTTAACCTTACCATACACAAGCCCTCCTCAGGTACATTCTCCATTAATAAATCTTAATTTGCTATCTCTTCATTTAATGAACATGTTGTTTTTGTTTAGATAAGTTATTTTCTGTTTGCTTTTTCACTGGCATTACAGACAGCTATTTGAATAGTTATCAAGCTCTGCTATAACTATGCTATTACAACAATATTATGTACCTTCAAATACAGTACTTAACAGCATTTATAGGACCTCAGACCTTGACATTGCTGTTGTGACTTTTTGGTTTTTACTATTACTTATACTATATTTTTATTGTCTAAGACCTCTGAAAAATAAAAAATATTACAGAAACAAATTGGTTTATATTTTGCTACAGAACGACCCATGTTTTGATACCTTAAATTCTCAGCTGTGAACATGACTACAACATAATTAATCCTGCATTAACAGATAAAAGTAGAATTGACAAAATCTGTAATCATTCTGTCAGAATACGCAATCATTCTGCTGCTTTGCTGAGCTGATTTTTGCCTCAATATATATGCTTATTCCACTTTCAAGACACATTTTAACATCACCTCCCAGGCTAGTAATCATGCATATATCAACAGCCATGTCATCCCAATACAAATATGTAAAATAAATTTTAAAATATCCATAAAAATGGGGAAAAGTTGACTCAAATATTCCATTTTTTCTTAAATTTTCCATTGGGTCTTACTATGTTTTTTTCAATAGACTACACATAGGCTGAAATCCTCCAGCTTTACAAAGGACCAATGGGAGTTTTCTTGAGCAATGACAGAATGAAGATAGATCATTTGAATATCAGCTTCAGGGTTAGATTGTGCATAAACAACCATTTCAATTTGTAAACATGTAAAATACCCTGTCAAAAAAGAGGAAGTCCTTGCGTCTGGTTCTCAAGTTGTGTAGCTATATCTTTGGCAGGGCCGGCTCCAGGCACCAAGCACCCAAGCATGTGCTTGGGGCGGCGCCTGGAGGGGGGCGGCACAGCGGGGCGCTCCGGCCCGAGAGCGGCGCCGCGACCGGGCTCGCTGCCCTCCCCCGGTGCTCTGGCCGCCGGGGGCTCTCCGCCCTCCCCCCGGCGCTCTGGCTGCCGGGGGGAGAGCGGAGAGCCCCAGACGGGCTTGCCGCCCTGCTCCCGGCGCTCTGGCTGCCGGGGGGGAGAGCGGAGAGCCCCGGCCAGGCTCGCCGCCCTCCTCCCGGCGCTCTGGCCGCCAGGGGCTCTCTCGCCGCCGGGGAGAGCGGAGAGCCCCAGCCGGGCTCTCCGCCCTGCTCCCGGCGCTCTGGCCGCTGAGGGGGAGAGCGGAGAGCCCCTGCCCCAATGGGGGGGGGGGCGGCCGCTGGCTTTTTTGCCTAGGGCGGCAAAAAAGCCAGAGCCAGCCCTGATCTTTGGAATCTTCTCCTTTCCTGGACTACAGTGAAAGGTTCATGTCTGGTACGAAGAGGTTACTCAATTTTTTTTCTTGTATATTTCTTTATTTTATGGTTTGTTGGTTAAACCTTTATCCCTAATAATGCATTTTAGTTAAAAAAAGCCAACCACCACCACCACCAAAAAACTGTAGCGTGACATCTTATGCCATTACAGTTCTAATGGATTTGAACGGATAAATCCCATGACATTTTTATATGAGGTCCACTACTGCACAGTCACATCTTGTATTAAGGTTTTTTTTTTTTTTTGGCTACAAGAGGTAACATTTGAAATTAATGTTTTTTATAAAAATTCCAGGGAATAAGTAAATAAATTTTATTGCTTTGAGATGGTATGCTGAGTACATTTTTTGCCAATTGATTTATTTTTTAAAACTTAAATCACTGTTCTTCCCAATAAAACTACAGCAGAATGAATGAAACACCACTAAGGAACAAATTATTATTTACATGAAAAATTATACAAAACAATGGCGAGAAGTAAACTAGCTGAAGAACACTGTAGTTTAAAGTTAATTGTATCCTCCAATTAAAATTAAGGGACAATTGCTCCCCTGCCTATATCAAACAGCTCTGAATGAGAATGTTGCCTTCCAGAGATATGAAAAGATTGAGAGGCTCAAATCCAAATTATTGCTCATCACAGCTGAGAAGCAGTGTTTAGATGTGACGTAGCCTACAAATGTTGCTTTATTTTGACATATTATTTTGCATTAGTTATTCTGAAAAGAAATCTCAGTTGTACTACCTACTAAAAGATTGGCTTATTTTCACCACTTGAAAACATCAGATGCCGTACATTTCAAAAAACACTGCAGATACATATAGTATTTCCTATCTCACTGATGTTTTTACAGTCATGCTGGCATCCTGATCCTGGTAAAGAGGGTCTACTATGTCTGCACGGAGTATAAATACTGCCCCCACCCCTTCCAGTCAGCAGGAAAGGCAATCCAGTGACCTTCTCCTGACCTGGCCTCAACTGCTTCCTGACCTTCTTGTCCATCCTAATAAATTTTCTCCCTTCTCCACACCTGCTGCAAAAGGGCAACGCCCCTTTTCTTTCAACTAGCCAGAGGAAGATCCACTCACATGAAGGTTGCAGTCGGCACAGTATTTTAAATTTCACTGATGCTTTTACACTTGATTTAATCAGACTGCAATTTGTCTGAACAAGAATATGAAAAATACTATGACAAAATCAACTTAAATGACACATTAATAAAGAATTTGTCTTTTGTACATATGGGACACAAAACAGCCAGTAAGTCTATAAACCTTTGGATAATGTTCTTTCTCCTCCAATTTCAAGTTCAATAGTAGTATAATTAAAAAGTGAGTTCTACTCAAAATTAAGATTCTTCTATTATTCTGAAAAGTGCTATGGAGAGTAATACTTATGTTCAATTTGCCCTTTTATCATAAAACTCTTATTAATATCAACACTTAGGAATGATAAGGGATGAAATATACAGAATGTCTTGTCACACACTACCTTGAAATGTTTGAAGGTGCATTTGCGATGTTCACACCACTCAGCAAAGGATGAAAGGCTTCTGAAAAATAGCAAAAGGTTTCCTCGTTCTTCGGCACTGTAGGAAAAAAAAGAACAACCTATGTAGTGCCTTCAGGCAGTTCTGGTAAAAAGCATCTATGATGAGTATATATGACATGGGTTTTTTCTGCTAAATAATTTATAGCTAAATTCATTACATTTGTTTCTTAAGCCCAGAACTTGCAACAAGTTGCATAATGGAAGAACCCTCCACATACAAGCTAACTTAAGGCAATGAGTATCTCTGCAGTGCTCATTGAAGGATCGAGACGTTAGTTTTTAAAATTTCTGTAGTACTACTGCTAATAAGATGTAAACAGACAATATGGGACTCAAGGAACATACTATCAAAACAAAAGATATAAAAACAAATAAGAAAGAAACGTATATAGTTTTAGCATTACATCATCTCTTTTAGGTATGGTCATTTTTTATTTTAATATATATTGGTTTTCATATTTCTGAACCCTGACTCCTGCCCTCCGCACCCAGTGTTAGGGGCTTTAAGGATTCAAGTAAGATCTCTCCCCTCCTGTACTTCTCAGACACATCTCTATAACAACAGAGACTCTTCTCACTTTCTTGGACCACCAGAATACAGTTTTCATGACCATAGTATATCTGAGCAATAATCAAGGGGTCATTAGCTCATTTTCAAAACCATGACATTAGTCATGGCAATATCAACGCAACAATTTATTTTCAGCATCAGTATTTTCCAACACTTTTAGAAAATACCACCCCCCACACCTTACTTTCTACCTGTATGGACCAATATTTAATCCCAAGACTACTATGATTTTCTCAACTATCAACTGGGCTTTGCACAACTCAACAACATCTTAGAGACACAATCAATATCAAGTTCTCAACCTCTGCTTGTATTATGTTCAACTGCTCAAGTTAGCCTTGAAATTGGATTTTCTACGGAGCAACAAGATAGTCTATTAATCAAAACATACATTTTAACTTAAAACAGAGATGTTCCTATATTTCTGGCATAGTTATATTAGCCTGAGCCAGTATTTCTTCACATGAAATAATTCTGTTAAATCAATGGAACTTCTGTATGCAAAATGAATACAGGATTGAGCCCCACTATTTTTGTTGTTAATAATTTACATTATGCTAGTGCACAAGCACTCAAGCACGATTAGGGCCGCATTGTGCTCGCTTGAAAAAACAAAAAGTGACAAGGTTCTATCCCTTATTAAACCCTCAAGAAACCAATGTTTGAATCATTTCCCCCAGAACTTTAGGTTTTTGAGTTCACATCTATAATTACGTTTTTAATAAAACTGCTCAAAATTTCTTAATTCCATAAAAAACAATAATTGAATATGTAATATCTCAGTGTGACATTAGCAGACCAGGTGTCTGCCCATGCCAAGGCTCCAGGCCTCACTGAACACAGACAAATGCATAGCTGGAAACCTGTCTGGCATATCTCTGTGTTAGCATTGTTAAAATAGATGTTAAGTTGATAAGAATGTGTTTAGATTTGATGAAATACTTGTAGAATGCTGCATGTATTGACCTTACCTATAACATCTGTAGCCCATGGTATAAAGTTTTATAATAGAAACACTCGATATACCTCTATAACTGTGTAACTCACCAAACAGGAAAGACGCATTAATTATTGTTAAGTGTTCGTCCTGTACCCAAGAAGGCTTATTGAAATCAAATGAGCCACTGTAAAGCATCAAAGGACTAAGACTTTGCTGACTGCCTGTGCACGTATACACAGAGGAGACAGGTGCCACACCTGTTTGAATGTTGCAGGGAAGGGAATAAAAATCCCTGACCAGAAGGAATGTCATCGCTATACTGCTTGAACTCTAACGTGTGAAGATTTCTAAGCATAAGTCAGGAGTCCCCAGATGTTTAGTTTGGGATAGCCCTAAAGGAAATATAGAGTTTGTTTTATTAGAGAAATTTCTATTATATTTTATTGTAAATAACTCTCATGTTTCTTTCTCTTAGTTAATAAATCTTTAGTTAGTTTATTACAGGATTGGCTACAGGCATTTTCTTGGGTGAGAGACCTGGGGGGGAAATTGACCTGGGATGCAATTGACCTGGGATAAGTGACTGGTCCTTTGGGGCTGGGAGTAACCTGAATATTATTGTGATTTTTAGTGTAAGGGACCATCTATCACACAGACAAGCTTCCCTGGGTGGCATGATAAATCAGAGTGCCTAAGGAGACTGTCTGTGACTCCTTGTTAAGGCAGTTATAGTGCTTTAGGAGTTCACACTTGTTACTTCATTGGTGAAATCTAACTATAGAACATGCAACCAGTTTGGAGTTTGTGCCATGTTCCTGGACAGTCTGCACTGAGGTTGACACTCACGCTCGTGAGCCACTCCAGACCGCTTGACACTCTGTACTCTTAGTATTGATTTTGGGTTAAAATTAGTATGGGAAGCATGTCTTAGAATAGGCTGTCAGTAACTATGTGTAACAACCAATAATGGAGCCAGCACAGTGTCTGGTTGGGGCAGAAAATACCTTACTTTACTTAGCCCTGGTCTACACTACAGGGTTAGGTTGAATTTAGCCGGGTTAGGTTGATTTTATAACGAATGCGTCTACACAAACAATCCCGTTCCGTCGACCTAAAGGGCTCTTAAAATTGATTTCTGTACTCCTCCCCAACGAGGGGAGCAGCGCTAAAATCGACCTTGCTGGGTCGAATCTGGGGTAGTGCGGACGCAAATCGATGGTATTGGCCACCAGGAGCTATACCAGAGGGCTCCAATGTGACCGCTCTGGACAGCACTTTCAACTCCGATGCACTAGCCAGGTACACAGGAAAAGCCCCGGGAACTTTTGAATTTCATTTCCTGTTTGGTCAGCGTGGCAAGCTCAGCAGAACAGGTGACCATGCAGTCCCCCCAGAATTGCAAATGAGCTCCAGCATGGAACGAATGGGAGACATTGGATCTGATTGCTGTATGGGAGAAGAATCTGTGCAGGCAGAACTCCGATCAAAAAGAAAAAATGCTATATATATGCCAAAATCGCACAGGGCATGATGGGCAGAGGCTACAACAGGGACACACAGCAGTGCCGCATGAAAGTCAAGGAGCTCAGGCAAGCCTACCAAAAGACAAAGGAGGCAAACGGTCACTCTGGGTCAGAGCCCCATACATGCCGCTTCTATGATCAGCTGCATAGCATTCTAAGGGGGGACCCTACCACTACCCCACCATTGTCTGTGGACACCTGCAAGGGGGGAGTCTCACGCAACACGGAGGAGGATTTTGTGGATGAGGAAGAGGAGAAGGAGAAGAATGCGTGGCAGGCAAGCGGTGAATCCGTTCTCCCCAGCAGCCAGGACCTTTTCATCACCCTGGAGCCAAGGCGGGATCCCCGACCCTGAAAACGGAGAAGGCCCCTCTGGTGAATGCACATTTGTAACTACAGTACAGAGTTTAAAAGCAATAGTGTTTAATGTTTGATTTGCCCTGATGACTTGTGATGCATTCATGGCCAGTACAGCTACTGGAAAAGTCTGCTAACTTGTCTGGGGATGGAGCGGGAATCTCCAGGGACATCTCCATGAAGCTCTCCTGGAGGTACTCTGAAAGCCTTTGCAGAAGGTTTCTGGGGAGGACTGCCTTATTTCGTCCTCCATGGTAGGACACTTTACCATGCCAAGCCAGTAGCAAGTAGTCTGGAATCATTGCAGCACAAAGCATGGCAGTGAATGGTCCTGGGTTTTCATCGCATTCAAGCAACATTTGGTCTGTATCTTTCTGTGTTAGCTTCAGGACAGTGATATCATTCATGGTCACCTGGTTGAAATAGGGGAATTTTTGTAAGGGAACAGTAAAAGGATCCCGTTCACACTGGGCTGTTTGCACTTGGATAAAAGGGATCATCCCTGAGGAGGGTGAAGGGATCATCCCAAATAGCCACGCGGAGGGGTGGGAGGAGGTGTGTGCTGCACATTCACCCGAAAACCACAGCCCCTCCTTTTAAATGGCAAACCCAACCGGCATTGCTTGCTATGGGAAAGGAGGACGCTGCAGTTTGAAAACATTCCCACATTTTATCAAGGCATTAGAAGCCAAACCCGCGTACCCTTTGGCTTACCGTGGCTGCCTGGAAACCAAGTTCTGTTGCCCAGCCGTGTGTGATGTGTCACCATACCAACAGGCACTCAAAATAAAAGGAAAAATGCGACCTTGTACCTAAAGCACATGTGCTGTCTGCTGTGAATTGCTTGATTCACTGTGAAAGAATCTCTCTTTTGTTCTCAGAAATGTATCATCTTAAATTTTACTCTCCCTTTTTATCCCCCCGCAGGTGCAAATGTTTCTATGCTCCCCCTACCATTTCCGTCCCTGAGGTTATTGCAGATTAGACGGCGAAAAAAACCACACGCAATGACACGTTTTCCGAGCTCATGCAGTCCTCCCGCACTGATAGGACACAGCTGAATGCATTGAGGCATTCAGAGGCAGAGTCCAGGAAAGCATTAAGTGAGTGCGATGAGAAGAGGCAGGATGCAAAGCTGAGGCTAACGGGGAAGCAAACGGACATGCTCAGGCATCTGGTGGAGCTGCAGGAAAGCCAACAATAGCACAGACCACCGCTGCATCCACTGTACAACCGCCTGCCCTCCTCCCCAAGTTCCATATCCTTCTCACCCAGACGCCCAAGAATGCAGGGGGGAGGCTCCGGGCACCCAGCCACTGCACTCCAGAGGATGGCCCAAGCAACAGAAGGTTGTCATTCAAACAGTTTTGATTTGTAGTGTGGCCACAATAAGCAATGTGGCCTTATCCTTCCCTACCCCACCCTACTCCACCTGGGATACCTTATCAGTTATCTCCCTTTTTTTTTTTAATTAATAACGAAAGAATGCATGGTTTCAAAACAATAGTGACTTTATTTCCTTTGCCAGCTGTGATCAAAGGGGGGAGGGTGGTTGGCTTACAGGGACTTAAAATCAACTAAGGGGGCAGGTTTGCATCAAGGAGAAACACACACAACTGTCACACCGTAGCCTGGCCAGTCATGAA